TCAAACTTGTTTAAAACTTGTGGGCCAAAATTACATTTTGCATTATGGGGCTGCACGATAATTACAAAAATCATAATTGTCGATCATTCCCTTGAAATTGTAATTGCGATTATTAATTATGATTATAACAATTTACATTCAATTATGTTTATACCATTGTTTGAAGCAACCACATGCCATATTTTTAGATACTAACTGAAAAACATGTATTGCTTTTCTATAGTATTAAGCCTCAAATGTCAACTACACATTGGATTGGTTTCTTTATATTAAAAAAAAAGGAAAAATATGCATGGTATTATAATGTAATACTAAAACTAAAATTAAAACAATGGAAAAAGATAACCTGTAGAAAGATAACCTATTGCATTATATCCAAATATATTATTTTTAAATGTATATATATTTTTTAATTAAATACAACTATATTTACAACATTTTAATGCAAAAAAAATAATATTTTCAAACAAAAATATAAATAAGAAATTAATTCTTCAATGGCATGTGTTTTTCCTTATTTTTCCTATTTGATTTTTGTGATATGACATGGTGGGCCAAATGTCATCACAAGCCAACTTTGGCCCATGGGCCCTGGTCCGGGTTTATAGAGTTGCAGTTTACACATAAACCATAAAATGGCAGTTAATCTAAGCTGAGGATTGTTTCCATAGTTTGGCGTGCGCAGACGTGTACCCCACTGGGCCATATGGCTGCTGGGTAGCTGGCTATGACACTTTGGTGCGGATCAGATCTATAATCATTTATAACCCAGAAAGTAGTGCTGGACGGTATACCAGTTCATACCGAATACCGGTGTTTATTTTTGTTATGATATGAATTTTTAAAATACCGCAATACGGTATACGGTATGTCGCTTAAATAACATTCGGAACGCAACACTGTTTGAAAGGGGTCCCTTTTCACTGTTGCACTGTGGTGAGGGAACAGCTGTATGTGTTACTAAGCGTGAAAGTTCCGAAACTGAAGCTGTAGAACTAATAGAACGTGATGACACAGAAGAACTCATCCACATCTACATTGACCGCCACAAATATCCACCGCACCCTGCCATCAGTTCCCGCGTCTCACAAGTGCGACTTCAGCACTAGATTTAGCAACTTTCAGACCCATTTAGCTGCTTTTTCCCATAGAATATTCATACTGACAAACCTAGCGACTTTTTTTGGATAAACCTTAGCTATGGTTCAGTTGGAAGATTTCGCCAGTGCTGTCCCGCAAACGCGAGGTCTGACTTTCCCGGAGAAGTGTCACCTCTCTCGGCGTCTGTTCTATGCAGTGAGCGGCAGAGAAGCAGTGCATTCAGTTGGCCGCACCGCAGCACTCGTCAATAAATGAGTACAAAACAGCGTTTCCTAGCACCTGTCGCTTACTGATTGTTTGGAATTATAAATATGAGCGTAGTTCGTCTGTTAATATCACATGCACTTTTTTGTTTGTTGTTTTTTTTAGTTTGTTACTCAGACGCAGGCAGTGCGCTGCATGAGACAAAAAAGTAATATAGCCAAAACAACCGCATAGCCGCTCTTTAGTGTAGATGCATGTTGATTTTATCAGACGATGCCGCGATTATAAATGAGAGTGACTCCTGGTTAACATGTATTAAAAAGGGTTGAGTTAATTGAATCACAATCTTCTACTTTTTTGCCCCTGAGCAAGACATTTAACCTTCAAGTTTCTCCAGGGAAACTTTCCTTGGAATCAGCTTACTATCTTGATGGTTTAAAATGTCTGTTAAATGGGACGTAGCTAACTAACAAAGGATTTACTATTGGGCTCATGAATAAGGATGCATTAAATTGATCAAAAGTGACAGTAAAGATTACTGATAATGATACAAATTTACAAATATTGATGAAATGATTTACAAATATTTCTTGAGCACCAAAGCAGCATATTAGAATGATTTCTGAAGGATCATGTGACACTGAAGACGGGAGTAATGACTGCTGAAAATTCAGCTTTGCAATCACATGAAAAAAAAAAAACTACATTTAAAAATATATACAATTAAATCTTAAATTAAAATAATATTTCACAATATCACAGTTTTTACTGCATTTTTGATTAAATATATGCAGCCTTGGTGAGCATAAGACCTTTTCAAAAACATAAAAATATCTTACCCACCCCAAATTTTGAATGGTAGTGTATACACTATTTCCTGCAATTTTTTAAGACCCACATAAAAATAAAATGTAGTAATGAATTATCAATTTAATAATTCAAATATAAAAACAAATTGAATTTTACATGGACAAGTGAATATATATTTAAAACTGCTTGTTGAAATAAATATAAAAAAATTTCAATAAATAACCTGACATTTAAAACATTATTTATAATATATTTAATTGATGATTTAAAATGCTAAAATAGTTATTAATAATACATTTTATTAAATGCAATTTTAAAATCACAAAATGCATTTGCCAACTGGTTTTCTTGATTGTTTTGCCAAATACTTTTCTTCATCCATTTGTCAATGGAGTTTCAAAAAAATGGCATTGGACAGGTCATTCTGGGAACAACTAATGAACTTTTGACTTTTCAATTCTAAGATTCCTAACACCTAAACCTTACTCTTTGTCATCTCTGATATAAAATTCAAAATTTAATAGAAAAGACGCTAAAAAAATAGGGCATGATGCCTAAAAAGGACTCATCAGGGAATCTTCGGTTCTGCCAGCCATTTATAAAATCACAGCCTGGTTTACTGCTTTGAAACTATAACATTATCCTTTTGTTAGAGATTCCTAATGGAATTCCACAGATAAACAGACGCAAGAAGAGCCATTCAGGTAGCGACAATGTCACAGTCCTGAAACCTTTTGGTCTAATAAAAGTTGTCTGGGTATCTTACTTAAGTATCTAAACAAATTCATGAAACAATTATCAGTCTCCCCTAGAGTGTGGCAGCCAATGCTGTTTGCCATGACTGTGCGTGCTGACAAAAGACTGAAAGGCAGAAGTCTTTGATATCGATCTCAAGCATGGCCTTGTTTTTCACACAGAGGCCCTTGGAAAGACACAGATGCTGAAAGACAAAGTGGTCTCCTCTCCCCTTCACCTGATGCACCACCGTCCACTTCGCTTCACCTGCGTCAAAATATCTTGACGAGAGGTCATCAGGTGCATCTGCGGGGACTAATTTGATTGGTCGCGCTTCACTTAATGCTTCCAGATCAGATAACATCAGACGCACCGCTAGGGAGATGAATCCCTCTGAGACTCAGCAGATGAGAGGGACCTATGATTCTTCCCATATGCAGAGAAAGAACAATAACTAGGACAAGTGAACCCATCCTCTCTCAGGAAACCAGAAACAGCGTTTTTTACTTAAATCTTAAACCGCCAGTCGGCTCGACGCCATCAACTGGCAGCTTCCTCACAAACCCACTGTACTCCAGAAGCTTAACAGTCAAATATGATTATGAGGGATTGTTATAAAACTGGCTTAATAACTGTAAGGCTGCTAACCCTTCATTGGCATGTTTGTAAAACCTCTCCAGTTCATCTGATCCTGTTAAATTTATCCCAGAATCAAGAGGCTTCGGACAAATGCACTGGTGTGGAATGTGAGAAATGCATTTGGGAATGCATGAAAAAATGAATAACAGAGTTCATTAATGTTAAACTAGTTATCAAACACTAAACTTGTAGGAAGGTTGGAATATGAATGGGTTCATGATTGTCTATTCTTAAATCCAGGCATGCCATGTCATGACCTGATGCTAATCAGAGCAAGAAAACACATGTCAAGTATGCCAAATCTATCTGGAGATTTCAAACACTTTCTGTGTTTATTTTTTTACTTGTTAACATACTTTATCAGTGCACTGAAATACTGTGGAGGGTCAGTAATGCTCCAGGAGGGGTGTTGCTATAGGACACATGCTTTGGGCTGAGCAGGATTGTATGCTGATGAGCACAACCCCGTCTTATCAAAAGACCAAAAAAAACAAAAAACAAACACACACACACAAAGTGTTCTGAAAGTTACAGGGGATTTACTAGATTGCCCTGAAGACCCTGAAAATCCCCCCATACCGCTGTGAAATCAGTGCTGCTGATTTCTTGAGACAGAGCTTATAAAAGGAAATGGCACATGACCAGGAAATACACACGAATTTAAGTTAGAGCTTGTTTGAATGACTAAAAAGGCAGTACAAGTGACAGACTCTTCTTTCTCGGTTTGAAAGTGTTCACACTTCAGATATTTCCGACCAATAGAGAACAGAAAAATACAGCAAATAAGAAACTGTATTTTTCTGTAAAGAGTCATTTAAAACAGTTATTCTTAATCAGAGGTGTGTTTAAGAAGGTTTAAAGGGGCATTTTTTTTCAATTTGGATTTGTTTTTAAACTCGTTTTAAACCAATATAACAATAAAAACATAGTTTTAGATAAATAATTGTGCTTAATATCATGATTTTCAGCTCATTTTTTAAAAAGAAAACAACATATAAACAAAAATTTGTGTGGATGACAATCATAACAGAATGCATATGCTACTTAAGTGTTTTACACACAGTATCATTTTTTTGTGTGTGTTTAATAAAATAAATGTTGGAATGGGTACTTGAGCCTTACTGTTTGGGCTGTAGGCGTACATAAAGCAAAAAAGGTTGAGAAAGTTAAACACCCACTTGGAGGAACAACGTTCGAGTCCTTTTAAAGCATCATTAATGAAAACCCCCCAATAAGTCCCTCTACAAAACAGTCCCTTGTGTTTCATGTTTTGTTTTTTATAAAAATGCCACTAAAAATAACCTCGCCAACACTATAGAAACGCTGCCTGTTTCACGTATTCTCCCTCTTCCTTGACGCCAGTACGGTGACTAAAAAACACAGCTTGACAGCTTCACCAGTGCCCGTTATCTCCAGTTTATGAGCCTATAAACGAGACTAACAATAACCGCGCGACATGGGTGCTCAAACTGCAGCGCTCAGAGAGTTTAGATTGAACCCAGTCTACTTACCGACTGCAGAAATGCCAAGTTTCTCACGTAATCCCGTTCAGTGTTCAATATCTCGTTTAAAACGCACAGTCTCAGGCGAAGCTGACGGTCCGAGTCCTTGCTGCTGAGATCCCCGTTTTCTTGTTTACTGTCCTCCTCGGTGTTTATTTTGCTCATTTTAAAAAAACAATCAGAGAGAAGCCTTCAAACAAACAAGAGTAGAAGGCAGTTGTGTGAGAACTGATGTGAAGATGTGAAAATTAATCCATTGAATCCGTCGCGCGCTGCACGCAACCTCGCGCCAGGATGCGGCAGGGGAAAATGTTATACTGAAACTGAAGAAACTTCTGTAAAAGTAGCAAAGCGCAACATCTAAGTCAACCGCAAGGCAATTTGCATCTCATTAAAACACTTCTAGTTTAAAAAGTAAACTAGAGAAGTAGCCCACCGACTGCCTGCAGCATAATTGAGGAAAGTGGCCAGAGAAGCGAAATGATGTGAAAAATGGGAGTTCACGTGAAACGATCAGTAACCGTGAAATCACTGGCTAAACCGTGCAGTAAAAGGCGAAGTAGCGAGTTCAAGAGTGCTCAGTCTGGTGGACTACATGAAAAGTGAGACGGTTGTGGGAGCTGCAGAGAGAGTCTGCCGCTGAGGGACCGTCTGCAAATTGCACCGCTTGAACAATCACGTCTTCAGTTTAATGAACTGATGAAATGATCCCTTCCTATCTTTAGATGTGTGTAGCGAGAAGATAGTTCATTTTGATCTCTGACACCATGTCTGATGCTCAGAATGTATGCATTTCAAACGTTTTACAAAATAAATAAAAATAAAAATGAATAGCATTTTTGGGATGTATCATTAACATGATGTTCACTAATGAAGACTCTAGAGTCTAGACATACCATATGCTCTAGAAAAGCAGTCATATTCTGCATGGAGAGGGTCACCCCTTCATGGGCACTGCAATGCTAATAGCAAATGTCCAGCCGTGTACCAGCACAAAACACCAGTACTGAATGAAATTTTGTTAATTTGTATAGTATGACAGAAACAAACAGTTTGGATGAAAAACCACAGCAGTTAGTGGTAGCCTACTACTTGCATGCATCCAGGCCAACAGGTGTCAGTATAAAATCTAAACCCATTGGTACTATAGAGACAAATATGAGCCAGCTATGTTAACAAAGGCTGCCTCCAAATATGCATACTTCCCCACTATATAGTAGGTGAAAAACAGTATTTGAAAGGAGTAGTATATCCGAATTGATAGTATTCATAAAACAGGAGACACAAAGTACCTGCAGTACTTCTGGCGAGATTCTAAAGAGTGCATCCTTTACTATCCCATGGAACTGTAGACACAATGTAATTTTTTATTTTGGACACAGCTCAAAATACTTCTGTAAGCAAAAATTAAGTGTAAAAACCTTGATATTTTTTTAAATGATGTCCATGGAAGTAAACATGAACACTCATATCTGTTTAATTCTATCATTAAAGTCAGTAGAAATAGATTTTGGTTAACGGTTACAGGCCTAAGGCCTGAATTTTGTCTAGCTCTAGTGAAATTAGTGAGAAAATAAAACATGTATCATCATCTGCATGGGATGATTGTGGCAACCCTGCAGTTTAAAGGAATAGTTCACAAAAAAAAAACTAATCTGTCTTCATTTACTCTTATGTCATTCCAAACCTGTATGACTTTCTTCCTTCTCTGAAACATAAAAGTAGATATTTTGAGAAAAGTCTCAGCATTTTTGTCCACAAAATGGAAGTCAAAGGTAACCAAAACTGTCCTGAAAGTCATACAGGTTCGGAAAAACGTGAGGGTAAGTAAATGATGACAGAATGTTCTTTGGGAGGGAACTATTCCTTTCATGTTTGTTTGTTCTGTTATCCAGGAGTCTGTCAAGTCTTTGTTCATACTGTCTGTGCCCTTGAGGTGATGCTTCCTCAGCATGACAAACAGCCATCAGGGCCTGTCCACATCCTGTTTACACCATCACAAAAGACTAAGTTCTCTATCTCTCGCACACACTATAAATTTGGCCACCAAACCACTAGACTTCACCAAATGAATGGGCAAAAACGTAAAGGGTAAGAATGACTCGTTGGCCTGGTTTGAATCACTCTTAGCCTGCAGGAGTCTTTTAGCTCCAAGCATTTCATAGCTGTCTGACATTTGAGAGGTGTCAGTAACTGCTGATTCTGCTTTACTTGGCTTGAGTTCTTCCCAAAATAACTGTACATACTGTAGTAGCCTAATAGAGTAGATATATGCTTTGACATAACTTAAAAATTAGTTGACCAGTAACTTAAATTATTATAGGTGACAGAAAGATAACATCATCAATATATTACATATTTTACTACAACAATGGCCGTAACCGAAACCATTTAATCACACTGTATACGTTCTGTGAGACTGAGCGCCATCTTGTGGCAAAATCGAACACAAACGAAAACAAACAAACGAAACAAAAAAACACGATTATATATTTAATATACTAATTATCTCTTTTTTTATTGCTTTTTTTTTTTAATGGTCCCCTTTTTTAATTGAAGAACATACTGTTCTTGAATGTAAATCTGAAAATCGTTATGGTTAATTATCTTTTGCCTATTGAAAATTCGGTCGTTACTCACCCTCAAGTTGTTCCAAACCTGTATGAGTTTCTTTCTTCTGTTGAGCACAAAAGAAGATATTTTGAAGAATGTTGGTAACCAAGTCAATGCGTACCATCAACTGTTTGGTTACCAACATTCTTCAAAATGTCATCTTTTGTGCTCAACAGAAGAAAGAAACGAATATAAGATTGGAACAACTTTTGAGGGTGAAGTGATGACAGAATTTTCATTTTTGAGTGAACTATCCCTTTAAGGAATATTTTTAAGCATCATTTACTGGTATCAAAATTAGGAACTTGTGACTACTTGACCCATTGTTGATGAAGTGAACTGTTTGACCTCTTTAACACAAATGTGAACTTTTTTCATTAACAGTTTTCATAAAACAGTGCATTAACAGCTCCACTCTATATATAGTACACACAGAGGCGTCATGCCCATTCAAAGTCCTCAGATTTTTGAGCCAAGTGGATTTTGAATGCAGCTTCCAAAAGACAAAAAATAGCCGATTAATGTTTTCTATATTTAATATAATCACACCGGCGTGATTAGAACGTTCAGTGCGTCATATCATCAGATGCTAAATTCAAATCTGCGTTCGCTGGCTGGCGCTTAACAAATCACACACGATGCTGCTGAGCTTATGAATGCAATGACCAATCAGAGGTGTTCAGATGAGTCATCGCTAAAAT